AATTATTTCATTTAGTTGCCCGAAATTGAATAATTCAGCGAAGGATTTTAATATTGCGGGTCAAAATGACCCGGCGACCGCGGTACGTAAATATCGAGAATTTGTCGAAAATCGGAAACTCGGAACTTTCTGGAGCCAGTGTGTGCATGTGCGTTTGTGTGTACTTGCTGTCTCCCGTGCGCGTATAACCTCCTGAAACGGCTTCACCGCTGACAACATCAACGTCGACGCAGTGGAGCATATACAGTGGAGTAGTTGGCGCGACTGAAAGCGTACGAGCTGTGCAGCTATCACGGTTAAACGCATGGAGACGAAGAAATTAAGTGCGTGTATGCGGCAAGAGGGGCGGGGCAGGAAGGGGCGGCGAACCTGCGCACGTAAGCAAGGCACACGCCTAGGCTACGCGGCTAATTGCCGCTAATTATCGCGCTTACCGCAGTTCAGGCATCCCTGTCTGCGTCTCTGCCGCCGTCTTCCGCTTCCTTGAACCCTTTACCACCCCCGCGTCGAGCCATCTTGTCGCGGTTTCCCGCCCCAAGCTCTTTCCATCGACGAAAATCTGCTCCTATTCCTGTTCCCCGCGTCTTTCAGACTCTACCACTTCCGCTTCCGTTTCCTCGTCACGGCCTAGATACTATCAGTGCTGGTTCTCCTAAGTTTTCTTTTCAGATGGTGTACCCTACATTATTTAGATACTTTACTCCACTGCTTCGCTACTAACGACGCGCACATGCACCGAGAGCGGTGCTCCGGGTTGTATAACCGGGTTCATCGTGCTATCTACCTCGGATCTTCCTGCATTTATGCGATTTCAGAATTCATGAAATGCGAGATGACTTTTGCATTAACAAATAGCTCTGTCGTTTCTGTTTTAGTCGATGGGAAAATTGATTCGGTGTGCCGTATTTGAATCCACTGCCAAACTAGTTTAGAACGTTTGGTCGCCATTTTCATAGTTTGATGTACTAACTTCGACGTGCGATAGGATAGACGTCCAAATTTCTCTGCCTTCAAAATAATTTTTGCTTCGAGGAAACTGTCGTTACGTACTCTAATTTTCATTTAACGCTATCTAAAAATATATTTCGATTTTTAAAGCATTTTTACCATGAGGGAATATTTATCTGCGTGACAAAAATTCGTAACTCAATGATTCGTTTTCAATGAAATTCAAAAGAAGATGTTTTTGACTCCAATTTCGTCTCCTTTCACTGTACATAATTCTGTGTCCTGTATTTCTGTGCCCCACATTTCCGTGCAATTTCTTTTTGTCATAATATTGTTTTCACGAAGTGAGGTTAGATTTGATTACGCGATCTAATATAAGAAGGCACCGAAGTACGGACATGTTCTAACATCTGACCTTATTTCTGGATTTATTTTGAAAATGTAAAAATATGAATGATCCGTGCTTTTTTATCATTGCAATTACTGTGCTTCTTTTAATAACGTTTCCGATCTGTTCTTCTTGTCACGAAATATTGTTTTGAATGGAAATGAGGTTAGGTTTGATTACGCGGTCTAATACAGACAGAACATTGTAAGCGTTCAATGAATTTAAAAATGCTACTGTATGATATTTAACGTATCGAAATTATTAAAAAAAGAAATACATGTCTATGTGTCTCGTAATTATCGCAGACAATTATAACAAATGAGATTCATAGCAGAAATCGCACCCATCTAATTGCATTATACCAATGTAACACCGTTGTGTTCATAGTTCAGAATTACAACATACACTTGTCATATCCCCCACTTCGCTGTACGGGAGTCTCGACGCGTCACGTGACCTGCCCCCACTCCTTCACCTTGAAAACTAGCTGATTCTTGTGACTATCATGGTCATGAATAACACATTGATAAAATTCTAACAAATGCTTTTATATTTCCAACAAAATTTTTTTCTTTCTTATCAGGTTGGTCTTATATGAAATGCCGGATTTTTTAAATGAATAGTAAATTTAATGTTTAAATGCCATCTTTAAAGATAATCTCCTCTTTCGAACAAATAAATTCAGCAAATAACAAAAATTTATGAATATCCGTAAAATTCATATTCATACAAAACTCAAAATAAGTGACAAAAATACTGAATTTTTAACAATTAGTCAATTCGTTTTTCTTTGTAAGCTATCTATTTGGGAAACCGAAATTATATATACTTTTGCAACAGTTCAATATATTGCTCAAATCTTTACTTGCGAGTTTAATAGACCGTTTATTTGAGAAATTGAGAAAAATTAACCAGGATTAAATCTCCCAAATAACTGTTTCATAGTTGCGCGAATAACTACAGAATTGTAATCACAATTTGAGAATGTAGAAAGTAAGGTCCGCCGATTCTAAAAATGTTCCGATTCTCGAGAAACGCCCTTTGAAAAAACGCCCTTTTCATCCCTTCGAAAAAACTCCCCAATTGTGTCCTTATTAGTGCACGACAAATACTAACGCAATGAAACTAAAACGATATTTTGCATATTAGGTTTCCATAAAAAAAGTCCCTTTGCATTCCTCATAATCCCCCCAAAATTTTCAATTACACTCTTTTCGCGGTGTAGCCGCTATTAAACAGCATTACACGTCTCAGGATTAAAGATTCGCTATTTGCTCCCGTCATTACGTTTGTATTTCCGCTTTAATATCCATTTTTCATCATCCATCGCCGCGGAATTATTTACCCAACCCCCGCCGGTCCCTCGGATCCTTATCTCCACTTAGATCTCCCCGATCCGTTCTTTTTCTTCGAACTGCTCTATCTACTTGTACATGTTTATCCGCCATCGTATTTCCCTGTTTACCTCCTTAGCCAGCTTTCCTCTCCGTCAGATTAATCAGCGTTCCCGTTCTGCCAGAAGTTCGCTGCATCCAACAGCTCTCTGTCTCGTTCTGGCTGCGGCGCGCCGTCTGGAGCTTCACCCCCGGCTTGTTACATTAATTAAACAATATTTGCGATTAATATTTGAGATAATCATCAGCGCCTCGAAGCAGCTTCTGCTCGCTGGCGGAGGATGCGGAATATCGCGCGTGCTAATCGGGTTAGCGCTTTCGTGGGCCCTTCTGCTTCCCTTCGCAGCCCTCTTCTCCTCGCCGCACCCCTCGCCTAGGAACTCCATGGGATCCGAAATATTGTAGCCCCTTCCACGAGACACATCAAACGAATCGCAACTGCTTCATTAAAGGGAGATCGAGTTTGATAAGAGATTAAGGGACGTGTAACGAAAGATATGGAAATCGGATGAAGGTCGGAGAACAGTTTTTCGGGAGCCAAGTTCAGAGTGCATGCTGCCGCCAATAGTAAACTTTTTTATTTAACGTTACAGTTTGTTCGGGAACATCCGATTCAGGGCACTTATTTCGTTTATCTTTTTACTTTCTTGTCGAAAGAAGAGAAATGTTCTTCGACAGCAATTTCTTCCTTCGTCGATTCGTTATTTTTCAAATCTATTTTGTTGCATCTTTTTCTCTATAGTTCGCGACATATTTTTAAAAATTTCATACAATGCATTTTGAAAGCTTCGGGTCTTTTTTAAATTGAAATAATGACGGGCTCGTGAAATATTATAGTAAAGGTATTATTTTGTTCTATTTTTTTTTATTTAATATTGGGTTTTTTCGGAAAGCTTTTTCGTTTTCGAAAACAATTTCGTTTTTTAAAGGTGTTAAAAAAGCACTTTATTACGCTTAATTACCAGGAAAATGTTAGAAAACATTTTTTTGCTCTGAACATTGAAATATCGTCTTCCATTTTCTTCTGAATGAACAAAACAACTTTTTTAACGATCCAATAATGTTATAATAGTTTTGTCGTATTCAACATATAAAAATAAAGCTTACATTAATACGTACAGTAGAATCTTGATCGAGAGAGCTAAGCAGAGTGATATGAACGACAGATCAAATTTTTATTAGTTTTATTGATTACATGTGAAAAGTGTTTGGATAATAGAGAATATTTTTATATTATGGGTTTCGATAATCGAAGTTCTAATAAAGCGATCCGCAATAAATAAACTCCGGGTATTGTATAATAGTACCAGAAGTACAAGCTAATTTTTTTAACAAATGTAGAGTTATATACGTTTTATTTATTTTCTCTTTGCAATTAAATTTTTTTGTTTGAGATTGACGTTATTTTTGTTACAATTTAAAATAAATTTGAGAAACCGATAGGAATTATTATAATTTTTTTAATTTATTTCAAAAAGTTAATATATATATTGGTTTCTCTTTATTTAATTTTCCATGAGTGTCTTAACATTTTTTGAGAGGGGCGTGAAATTGAGACTGAAATTTAGAGAAAACCGTGAAATTGTGAAAGCATGCGGAATCAAAACTATTTCCGTGATGGGCAACTATTTTATTCAATAATTATGATAAAGTAGGTTTTTTGCCGAAAACTGTGCGAGACATTATACTCATGGGAACGTGAAATATTTTATGCACTTTTTATCGTAACATATTTCGGAACAAAGGTAAAAAAAAAAGAGAATGCAATACTGTTTTATTCTGTACCTGTTCTAGCGCATATAAACGGATGAAATTTATAAAATCAATTGAAACGTTTTACGCTACAATTCGAACATCACGCTAAAGAAGACTGCTTTCATGAACAATACAACATTATGAAAATTTGTTTGAACGTTGCTTTATCTGTAGACAATTTCGTGAATCTACTTTGAGCTAAAAACTTCTTTTTTATATGTGTGTGTTACACTACATATAACTGTTATCCCACAAGTGGTCGCTAATTGCTATTAAGCGGATGATAAATGAATGAAAGAAAAAAGATAGTTCAGGTTTTGAAATTTTGCTCGGCATTGATTTCTCACTTCTTGGTTCCAAGTTGCTGTTTCGTCCAGAGCAAACTAATAAAATAATAAATAAATAATGTAATAAATTTGTTGCTTGTTAACAGGTGTTCCCGATGCGACGAAATATTTCGCCAACGTATTCGGCTAACAGGTTAAGTACTAAGGTCATTCCCATTGTTGTTCCAGTGCTCCCGGGTTAGCAGCAGGTTTCAGGCCAGTGGAGCCGCCAACGTCTCTGTTCTTCTCGCCGCACCTGGCGGCCCAGTTCTCCCCGCCGTTGTTTGGCAACAAAGTGGTCAGCAGCGCGCCGAGCTCCTTGACCTCGACTACTCCTTCGCTGTGGACCTCGAGCGACCATCGACCGGGCAGTCTGCAGGACATGTTGTCCTGGTCGTCGGCAGCTTGGCCAGGCTCTGTTTGCGGGTGCTGCAAGCCAGGCACCGGTGACCTCCATAGGAGCAGCAGCTTAGCAGAGCTAAGAAGAAAGGCTCAGGAACATTCAACAGCGTCGGCACTCCTCGGCGGGCTAGCCGGTTTCCCCGGGGGGCTGCCATTGCCCTTGCCTCTACCATTGCTGCCACCGTTGCTGGGACTCTCCAGGAGGCCGGAACACCATCACCATCATCTGTCCAGTATGGTGCACCAGATACAACCGACCACGAAAGAGGATCCCTAGGAGCATCCTCTGATCGGCACTCGCCTGACAGCTAATTGAACGTTTGGCCTCGACGAACCTTGGCTCTGGGCACGTATAAGTTTATGGACACTGACTCTGTTTGCTTTTACCCATACCCGGTTAAGGATTACAGTATTTTCGACACGGTTAGGACTCGATCGTCCAAATCCTGGCATGAGAATCGAGACACGGTGTTCGTTCGTTCACGGCTGTTTCATATAGAAACCACGATTTGTGTCCTAGTTTGGTGCTACGCGACGGAACAATTGTTGGTCCCGGCGATGATAATTGATAATATTAGGTTGGCCGGGGTAAGTTCGTGCAGTTTTGATCCGCACGTCTGCGATTACCGGGCCAATTTGACCCAGTGTGGTTGTAATCGTCATCTATTTATTCAGTCTACGGAAATTGGAGAAAAACGAATTGCTGTTGCATTACGTACAGTCGAATGAGTAATAGAACTGCAAGAAGAATCTTCAAAAATATGTTTCGGAAAGTTAATGAACAAAGCTGAGAATTATTAGAATAATCGACAATCGTATTGACCGTCGTCTGAGGGTTAACAACCTTTTTTCGTATAAAAAATTGTCTTCATTCAATTATATACTGGTCGTTGTTATATATGATCTTTTCTCATTTTTTACATAATTTCATCCCCCCCGAACAATAATACGATTATCGAGAAATTGTTAATTTAAGAAATATAATGAAGATATTCCGGATATGAGTTAATTTGATTTTTCTACGGAATGAATATGACAAGATATTTCAATATTGCGTGGATATACTTCGGATACTTCTTTCATGAATCTTCGAAATTTTTCAGAATACAATCGCAGTTTATTTCAATTATTCTTCTAAGTCAATGAAATAATTACAGATAATCGTGTTCAGCCATTGACGAATTGCATATGCTAATCGTGAAAGTCGTCTAACCGTCTTAAAAATACTGTGTTCTCTAAATATTTGTTAACCGAAATCGTCTGCATTTACCAGCACACAAAGCGCCATAGAACGTTTTCTTATTTTCATTGTTTAAACATTACACGTTTATTCACTTTGATGCCAAATATTAGTCTTGTAGGAAAATCGAACTACCGAACAAAAATGCGAGGAACGAAATAGTGTGTTTGAACTGAGCTTTTTCAACGACTCGATCAAAGCACGATGGAAATCAAAATTTTTCTATGCAGGTGCTACTGTGCAATTTCTTTAAATTTACACTAGCTGAATTTCTTTTAGACACGTGAAGAACTGTCTATATTGATTTTCGTTCCAAAATCTTATTTTTCTATTACACCATCTCTTCAATCAAATTGTTCAAATGTTTCTGCTGAATAACAAATTGTTTGCGCGCAAACGTCAGCGTCAAAATTTTGAGATCATTGTGCCAATCTCTTAGTAATGAGTACAATTTTTGATTCTCTATACCCAAAAGTATTTTCAATTTTTATTTAAATAAAGCATAACATGATGCATTAGAAATCACGACTAGATTCTGCAAAGATACGCGAAACTCAGCAATCTGTTACGATAGACAGGGTGTCCCAGAATAGTACGACTTGAAAAGAGGCAATTCTTGAGGTGATTTGAAGTAAATATTTCCGCAGCGAAAATGTTGGTTGTGCCTTTGTTAACGAGCTATTAACGAAAATCACAGATCAATGAGAGAGCGAGTAAAGCTTTCGAATTCTGACGTGGAGGCGCTACTATTATCCCATATTCTGATATTAACCCATTGTATGCGGGTCACGTATAGTCCTCACGCGACAAAAAGGTACCTTTGTGTTTACATTCCTCCACTGCCGCAGCTATCGGTTGCTATTGGCCGAGAACAATGACGAAGATCGCCGTCGGCGAATAGCGACCGATAGCTGCGGTAGCAGGGCAGCTATTAAGAGGGGGAATGTAAACACAAAGATGCACTCTTGTCGCGCGAGGACTATAGATATTATATAATGTGTGTGATAAGTGTTCCGTTTTCATTTTTAAACCACGAAGATTAATATAACATTTTCGTAGATGGAAAAAAATTATTTAAATTTTAATCATCTTACACGGTCATCGAGTGACTAATTATTGCCAATAAAGAATTTTCTCAATTGCATAAACCAGAACTTCATGAAATAATGACTTCTGATGGCAAGACATTGAAGGAATACTTCACGATGAAGAGTTAAATAATAAATATTAATAATTGGAACACGACTTTTTAAAACTGTTGCAGTCAAATTGTCAACAATTACCTACGTACAAGGTGTCAATACTGACTTTTAGCTATTTATATCAATATAAATATTTAACTTCTGAGAAATTCATTATTATTGTAATATGTTGAACAAATTATTCAGTTTGTTCTGATTGCTAAGATTTTTATAAATAATATGAAATATGTAAATAAATATTTTCTATGATCTAGTTTTGCTTATTTTAATTACATGATTTTGATATAGTGAGAATTTTTGGAGTTGATATTCGGCTCTTAACGTTTCGATAACTCGTTAAAAATGCCTCGGAGAACATTTTCGCTAAAGAAAAAGTTACTTCAAATCATCTCAAGAATCATTCTTATCCTATATGCATTTTGAAGCATCTTATTGAAACATATGTTGCAACAAAAATAACTATTCGATATCCAGTGTTTAAAAGTCCCACTTCAACGTCCATGAAACAGCATTCGAATATTTGTGAATATTGCCCCTCAAATTACGTGAAGGAAAGAATAATCGGGTTTCAATATTAAACAGGTATTAATTGCTTTCCATTTATACGAAATGATGAAATTGCAGGTGAAACAATAATTCAAATTAACCCCTTGCAGTCGAATGGTAACTCCAAGGCACCACTAAGGATTGTCACATTAAATTTCAAAATAATATTAATATTATCCAATTTGTTTATGTTTAAAAAACTTACATTTAAAAAACTTGAATAATATTGTTGCATAAGTCACCAAATTTCACACGTATAAAATGCACTTGGTTATGTAAAATGAAAATACTCTAGGTTAGAAAAACTATTTTGGATTTCGAATTAAAATGACTCCGACTATAAAGGGTTAAAAAAGTACCATGTGCAAAATTCAGTATAGTTTGCAAGTAATCGATAGACTGCGAATTATTATGCACTCGCATCTACCAACAATTTTGAGAAACAGATAAATTAATATCAACTCTTTTTTTCTGCCGCCTTCAATCAAAGCATAAAAATTCGCAATCTCGTTGTCGATATTATTTTTCTACCTAATTCGACATATTGATTTTTGAAGACGTTTCACAAATAAATGGAAAGCCAGATTTCTGAGTTTCGTCTGAATTTGATGAATTATTCAATTTTCCATTTCTTGCAATTTGTGGTTAAAACTGACTTCGAACACGGTCGACAATAATAGTTTGATAGTACTTACTCTATCATTGAAACGTTCTCTTACCATAGAGTTTAGTATATTTTATGTTGAATTGCATATAACTTTTATTCCTGTTTCGGAAACTTTCCACGCATTCTTTGTTAAAATTGACTAATTTTAATTAATTTCTAAGTTGACGCAAAGTAGCTCGTACAACTTCCTCGCGAAAACGAAAATTGTTTGCTACAGCTAGGAATGATTTATAACTAGACTGCAGATTTTACGCATTTACACTATTTAAAAATTATTCTGCACCGATTCAATAAAATGAGCCAAAAGTTTCAATGAAATATTCCTCTTCTTTGGAATACAATAGAAAGACAGCGGATCTTCATGCAAATCCTCATCTTTTTACTTCATTTTACAAAAATCAGAATTACAGAAAAGTCTCCTTGTCAACCAAAATTATTGTAAAATAAAAAAAAATACAATTCAAATATACAATTAAAAAGGAATTTTGTTAATTTCTACGTTTTCTAACATTTTCAAAATTTGCACACATCGTGAATGCATAAAGATCCGCGCAGTCCAGCGATGAGCGAAATTTTACCTCCGCTCGAACTCGAAAAATCGAATTCTTAAAAAGACCGTAACTGCATAAATATCCGCAGTCTATTTATAACTCAACGCAATGGTTTCATTGGAGCTTGTGTCCCCGTTCAACTAACATTCACATTCATTTTCGTGCAAGGATATAGTATTTCGACTTCAATTCGAAGGCAGAAAAATTCAATACGCCGTTCTGCAATGAGACCAGTTGAGCGCAGAGGATAATTTATATTGTAATAGAATAATTTATATTATCACCCTTAAATCGAGTCTACCACAATTTTCTTGAATTATATGATTACTCTATCATATTATTCAAATAATACGGATATCCGTATTATCCAAGTAACACGGACGTCCGCTTGAACTCCGCGCGACGCGAGCACGCGCCAGCAGGAATAATATTTCTATATGTGAAAATTTGATTTGTCAATGGCGGGATGTCGTTGTCGAACCGAATTGTTTCGTGGACATTCGGATGCGCGGATGTGTCAATATGTCCAATCCTGAAACAGGTATCTGGAACTTGGAGAATTCTTCTGGCTAAGAGAACGTCGCGTAACAATATTATATCAACGACTGATGTTTGAATAATTTTCTGAATTTCGAAGATTTGCGTGATATTTATAAAAAATTAGTATGCTGAAGTGAAATCTTCACCGTCAAAAATACGAATGTTATTTTCGGATTTTGATTCTTAGCATCGAGTTGAATAATCGATTCAAGTTAAAGAATAGCAAATTCTTTCACAATAGTAATTTGCAATTTAGGAAGTTGTAATTTTGAACAGAAATGCTTCGATTTTGCAATATTTAGAACTGTAACTTGATTTACAATTTACAAAGTTTATTTGTATTGCGATAGTCAAAGATGTACGGGAAGTGTTACATTCTTTTTTCTCACTTATTTCTAATCACAACATTCTGTCAATTTGGGGATTGTAATAATTGGCTACTTTGTGGAACAAAAGACGGAAAACAAAATTGTAATTTCACGAATTTTTGAAAGTTTTTTTTGAAACACCGCGACGAGTGTACTACTTGATCGCTCGACGAATCAAATGATCGAAATAACAATATTTGTAAATATAGCATTATTATAAAGACACTATAATTCGTGAACTAATAATTTCGTGAATGCGGTACGTGTAGCCTTTATATGTGTATGTGTCACGTCGTTCGAAATCGATTCGAGTGTTCAGATATCGGTATATTTTTGCGATTCCTGAATATAAATAATTGCAACAATTTCGTCCAATAGATCTTCTATGTCTAGTTTCATGTTTTTTCTAAATCACTTTTTACGATTCTGATTCAAGAATCCAAGTTTCATTGTGAGTTGTAAACGAGCGATCTAAATTACAAATACCAAAATGTCATTTAACAAGCTGAATTTATAACAAAATAAATTATTTACAAAATTACTGTGGCAAACAATGAGAATGTGTCAAGAACGATGGCGGTCTCTGTGAACTCCATCGATTGCGCAGTATGTTATCGATTAATTGACAAAAAGTGATAATTAGACTGCGGATTTTAATATGAAATCTGAGCAACGGAAATATATATAAAACTCCGAAGACGCGTAGGAACAATGTAATAATATTGTTATTTTCTTGAAATTTTTTCCTCAATTTAAAACTTTTCAAAAGTTTTGTTACAATTGTTTCGGGAGATTTGAATTTTGCATCAAGATCCGCAGTCAGACAAGAAATCTCCAGTTTCCAATGCCTTGTGGGAAGATCAAGATCGTTTACGATCGCGTTAGGCCAGGGCACGGAATTAACCGGCACGCAACATTCAGGTCGCGAGGACTACACACCTCCAGACTACCATCGCGCATCTCGCTCCCCGTGGTCGCCTGCTTCGACTCGGAGCACCTCCGGCGCGTGCGCCTGTTGCTTTATATGCGCGCGTGTATAGCATTCGGGCGATAATCGGGGAGCGAGTCGCGCGACGGGACTCAGGAGGCGTAGCCGTCGCGATCCTCGTGTTGCGTGCCGGTTAATTCCGAGCCCTGCGTTAGACGATCCAACGAGATGATACGTTAACTAGCGATGACCGCGTGTCGACGGCTATTCGTGCATGCCTTACGAAACAATTGTCAACGATCCATCGAACGAGATCGAACAAAAGTCAAGGGGGAGGTTCTTGCGCGAGCAGCGTTAATCGTAGAATTCGTATCGAGCGTGTAGAACCAGCAGCCGAGGAACAATGGTACGAAAACTCCGTGAACGACTGTACAGATTCATTATAGAGTGAAACCAGTTTAACATCCCCACCTCCGCCCCATCCCCCTCAACTATGCTAATATCGTAACGGTAACGATCATTTCGTTTGCGTTGCGATACGATTACCGTTGTTCTTCAGAATTATGAAACAGAGACACGACGACGGAGGACACGTAGATAACTAGTAGAGACCTGTATATTACATCCCAGTGAATTTTCAGTGCTAATCACGATAATCTAATAACAGTATGTTACAGACTAGCGACTATTATGTAGACTGAACTGTGGGTAGTGAATTATCGAATAAACTTGTTCTCTCGTGATAAAAACGTGTCTGATCATTCTCTTTATCTCGCCTCTTTCATTCCTATCCCGAAGTGACAATTAATCACGCATTCTTTCGTATCGTTATCAATATAGACTGCGGATTCGATGTGTTTGTAATAAAAATGAGCAGGTGAAATACAAAAGACCGAAGACGTTAGAAGAATTTAATAACGTTATTGCACTATTTTTGACTTGCTACAATTATTAAAAATATTTAAAGAAATCATTTTAGTCTTCTTCAATTTTTGTTTCTTACAATTGACTTGGACAATTTTTATATTGCATAAAGATCCGCAGTCTCGTTATCAATAAGTATTATATGCTACAAAACTATTATATTATTATTATTTTAATAAGTGAACTGGAATAACGAGATTAGAATGTCTGTGACTCGACGGAGAAGTTGTAGATAATTTGTTAATTTATTCTTTATTGAAGAAAGAATATTAGAGTATGTGTTAATAAAAATAATGGAGCAATAATTTGCTCTGGTTTCATTCGAAGTATCTATTGTTACGTTTGCAAAATCATTTCTTAATAATATAATAACATAGCTTGTATTCGATATAAGTTTTTACAACATTTTTCGATAACAGTTTTACGATATTANTATTCTTTATTGAAGAAAGAATATTAGAGTATGTGTTAATAAAAATAATGGAGCAATAATTTGCTCTGGTTTCATTCGAAGTATCTATTGTTACGTTTGCAAAATCATTTCTTAATAATATAATAACATAGCTTGTATTCGATATAAGTTTTTACAACATTTTTCGATAACAGTTTTACGATAT